CGGGAGCAAGGGCGGAAAGAAGGACAACGGGTTGTAATTAGCTGTCTATTTACATAGACGGGCATGCAGCCACGTCCCGGCGCGCAAGGACATGCGCGCGCGGTTACCGAGGGGGGACTGGGAGGCTGGAAGGCGCAGCGATCTCTTCAAACCAAATTCGGGGCACGCGACACGGCGGGCACTGGGGGAGATTGGCACGTGAATTGATGCGGGAGAACGAGGCCCACGCCCGGGAGAGCGCCCCCGGGCGTGCAAAGCATTGCGATAGATGCTGTTCGCCGACTGTTCAGGGCGGCGACTTCGCGATGTCACGGGGCGAGCGCGACGTGCACCCGTTCGAATGCGAAGCAGAAGAGGAGCGCGAATTGAACGCGAGGGGGGGGGGTGCGGGGGGGGTCGACAAGTCGCTCCAGATCATATTTGCGGCGCGGACGCACGAGGGGCTGAGATGCGATGCAGATCAGAGACATGCGGAGATATTATAGGAGAGCTGGGACTTGAGAAGACATGGCAAGGCGCGAAATGCCAGGGGGCAAGGTGCCAGCGGACGAAAACGGCGAGGATAAATCGTTAAATCGCACCAGCAAGTGGGGGTGAGTGGTGCGAGTAACTTAGCTGGCGCAAGATGGGTCCGACAGTCAGTCTGCTATTAAGGAACTAGCTAGATGCGCGTCATCACCCATGGTGGGATCATGGAGAGCATTAACCAAGCGAGGGAGACATTCTTTAATCGAAAAAAAACAAAAAAAGAGGTGGTGTGGTGGGGGGGGAAAGCCGCGGCGGGACCAGGTGCGCGTCTAGAAATCGAAGCATGCCTAGAGAGCTCGCAGCGTGGACTGAAGCAGATTTGCGCAGATTTAACGGGGCGAGGAAATCCACGGGCGGACCCCTTCTAATGCGGGGTTGTCCCACGATAAAACGTTGGAGATCCACGCAGACAGGGGTCGCCCTGTCGTTCGGAGAGGCAGCGGGGACTTCTGAGTAGCGCGACATTGGACTGAAGAGCGACGCCGCAGCAGAGACTGCCGTGGCCCGTGGACGTGGGTCAGGCAAAATGCGATGCGTTGGGAAATGCCATCTGCGGATACAAGACAACGTTAGTAGTGGGTGCGCCGGCGTGAATTAAGCTCGAAAGGGCGACAACTTAGCCGACGCATTTACCTAGTCCGAGAGGAGTGAAAACGCATGAGAGGAATTGGGCAGCATCATGAACAAGGGAGACATGCGTTAGCACCGCTGGCGGAGTGCCAAGTAAAACGTGGCCATTGAACAGCGAGCCTTCAGATTGCCCCGCCACCGCGACAGAGCAACTCTCTGAACCTCTTCCTCCCGAACCACATCACCACTGAACGCTCGCGCTGCTCACCGCGGCGGGCAGTGGCATCCAGGGGCCCGAACTCTCGCCCATCCAGACGCCGATCGCGAACGGCATCGAGATGCACCTCGCTCGCCCAAGTGCTGCCACCCGCGAGGACATAGCAGCTAGCGTGGACAAAGTGGAACACGTCTTCCAGCTGACAGACAAGAAGAATAATCAACAGACGATATCGCCAGCAGCGCCGCGCGGCTGTGTCAGAGCATAGACGAGGCCAAGTTGCGCGTGGCCGAGCGGGCCGTTGAGCCGGCACGCAACGCGCCCGATGTTGCGAGTTGCCTCTTCTCCGACCACGTGAGAGCACTCGTCACCGACGCGACGGGTCGCGGCGATGGTCCGACGTCTCGCAACCGCGCGCTGGCTGACCGCAACGAGGGCCTGAAGCTCGAAATCCTCAACGGCGAGATCGCGAGGGGCGCCGAGCGATCTAGCGTGAGGCGCGACATCATCACTAACAGCGGTTAGTGAATGGAGGAGATCATTGAGGCCAGTCGCCAGCTAAGTAGCGATAGGGCGACTGCGCGCGCGAGCCAAGACCTCGACGAGGCGATGCGCCGCCTCAACCCGGCCGCCAAGGCCGTCGAGGACCACGGGGGGGCGTCGGACGCGACCGAGGAGGAGTCGCCCGGCTCGTCGGCGGACGCGAAGTCGGAAGCGCGGATTCCTGACAAGGCTGCGCTACCTGAGCCCCCGGGAACGACATCGGGCTCCGGCGATGTCGGTACCCCTCCATCTAAGCGCTGTCAGAGCGCCAACCAGGCCGTGAAAGAGCCGGCCGCCAAAGCGCCCATCTTCCACCTAGGCCGCCCAGTCCCGTCGCTCCCTTTGTCCGCGCGCGCGCGCCAGCGACGTCGCCAGCCCAGACTTCGGCCAGGCGGCGGCGGGTAACTTCATCGCGCCTCGGGGCGTCGCCGATCTCGCGGAGCACCCGGGCCGCGACCCAAACCTCGGGGAGGCTCCACCAGGCGCGCTGCAACCGACCAACAAGTTATAGAGTTACGGGGCGGTAGTTTAGCAGGGTGGAATAGCCGCGCAATGCGTGGCCTGCAGGGTCGACGGGGCAACGTCGTGATCAGTGAAGACTGCGACAGTACCCACGACTCTTTCGAGGGTTATTATTTCTGGCGATATGTGCCGCATGTTGCCAATGCCCAATCTCGCAGGACCGCCAATTCGGCGCTGGGCCTTGCCCGACCACCGTCGGTAACAGCATGACGAGCGGGCCCACCTGGCAACCGTCGCCCATAGTCATTCGCCTAGAGATCGCGAGGGTTACCCAGGACCGCGCGGGCTGCATCAGCTCCCCAGGCACATGCGCGACTGAGGCGTCAGCCGCAGTGCGCAAGTGTGCCTTAACAGCGCCCTTGAGCTGCAGGCGTGGGGGTGCGACAACATGATAACCACATGGTTTGGCACGCAGTGGTCCGGGAACCTTACGACCGTCAGCTCGAAGTAAATTTGCAGTGCCTCCACCGTTTGGAACGACAAGAACATGGATAATGCGATTCCGAACCATAGAGCTGGCACGGGAATTCATCGCGCTGGGCTACGGTCTTGAGATTTACTATAACCACTTCGACGCGACCATAAGGAAGCCCAAAGGCGGGAACCAGCCCTCTGTCCAAAACCCCCCGTAACCCAGTACCGCGCGATCCTTTCTGAAACAATGTGCCAAACCCGCGGTTCCCGCGACCCCCATCGCCGCAGAGCTGAGAAATGCGCCCGCCCAAATGCAGGGGCGCGCGGTCGCAGGGGCGAGAAGGTCCTTTGGCGAGCCCAGTTGCAAGCAACGGATTGCTTCATGTGGGCCACTATCCAGATCTGGGTGGTGGACCCCCGCTCGGGCGTTGGCTGTTACGAAAGCGTCGGGGCCCGAGCCGCGAGTGGGTCACGCCTACTGTTCGTCACCCAGGTGACACCTACTGGAGGTCAGTCGGGAGGCGTATTTGCATTTGGCACAGGACGGCGAGTCAGTTTCCGAAAGGCAATGTCGAGGCCGATAGTGACGAAGAGAGTAACCATCTGGAGAATGACTGATGTATCCTGGACAGCGACCGCCGCCAGACGATGGAGCAGATGATGGAAAGCGAGCGCGAGACGATGCAGAAGGCCAAAGCCGGCGGCAATGGGAAGAGGCCGGCCGAGGTCAAGCTCGAGGAGGGCCAGGTGAGTGAACATATGCAACCCGTGGGGTTCATTCCTACTTCGTATATTTCCAAGGCACGTCGCGCTTGTCGCCCATGCATTTTAACTCGCTGCAGTGCACTCGGCAGTGGTGACACATGCAGATAGAGCGTAGGTCCTGCCATAACCTGCGTCACCTTTCGCGCTACCATGCTGCAGTTGCTCGGCGCAGTAGTTGCGCATTTACCTGTTGCGCATGCACGTATGTATGAATTTATAACAAGGAGTTGATGTACGAGTTGTGTCACATTTTTGTCGCCCATTACGTCACAGCTATTGTGCCGTTGAGTTTGCCGGATTTCCACTCATCGCACATGAATGTATTTAAGGTTGCACTCAAGTTAACCGACCTGGTTCATCAGGTCGAGAGTTGGCGTCTCCATATAGCACTTTGGGTACCTGCGCAACCCGTGACATGTGGTTCAAGTAATCGTGACCGCCGGCAGGCGGTGTGACATAGCTGTGTACTCTAGTGTCGACCGCTTGCTGCAAAACGAAGCTCAATCCTGATTACCATCGGTCTGTTGCATTTGCAGGAAGACGAGGAAAAGGAGAAAGAGGAGGAAGAGGAGGAATCTAGGGTTGACGTTGATGTTGATGTTGATGATGATGATGCTGATGATGATGATGCTGATGCTGATGCTGATGATGATGATGCTGATGATGATGCTGATGCTGATGCTGATGCTGATGCTGATGATGATGATGATGATGATGATGATGATGATGATGATGATGATGTTGATGATGATGATGATGATGATGATGATGATGATGATGATGATGATGATGATGATGATGATGGTGATGATGATCATGATGGTGATGATGGTGATGATGGTGATGATGATGATGATGAAGAAAAGCAAAAGGAGGAGGAGGAGGAGGAGGGAGGAGGAGGAGGAGGAGGAGGAGGAGCATGGGATGGATGAGGAGTTCAGATGGGGTGGGGATGTGCTCCTCGACCCCTCTGGGAGCGCGGGGGCGTCGGTCGCCATCGCGGGCCCTGGTGGACGCCGCGAGATCGTCCCCGATCAGCCGGCCAGTCAGGAGGAAGAGGAGGAAGAGGAGGAGGACGAGGAGGTGGTGGATGAGGGGGAGGAGGAGGAGGAGGAGGAGGAGGAGGAGGAGGGGAGGAGGAGAGGAGGAGGAGGAGGAGGAGGAGGAGGAGGAGGAGGAGGAGGAGGAGGAGGAGGAGGAGGAGGAGGAGGAGGAGGAGGAGGAGGAGGAGGAGGAGGAGGAGAGGAGGAGGAGGAGGAGGAGGAGGAGGAGGAGGAGGAGGAGGAGAGGAGGAGGAGGAGGAGGAGGAGGGAGGAGGAGGAGGAGGAGGAGGAGGAGGAGGAGGAGGAGGAGGAGGAGGAGGAGGAGGACAAGCAGCAACAGCAGCAGCAGCAGCAGCAGCAGCAGCAGCAGCAGCAGCAGCAGCAGCAGCAGATGGGAGGCACCATCGTTCCGTGCGTGCTGCTGGCGGAGCTGTTCTTCCAGATGAAGCTCGACGTGGGCATCGTGGCGCAGGCGGGTCTCAGGAGGACGAGGGGCCGCAACAGTTGCAGCGGTGGGGTGGGGGATGCAGGAGCGAGGAGGAACGGGAGAGGAGGAAAAAGGGACGAGCATGGGGGACGAGGAAGGCGAGGAGGAGGAGGAGGAGGAGGAGGAGCAGCTGCGAAGCAACACGGGGGCAGGAGGAAGAGGAGGATTTGAGCTTGTCTCCAAGGGCGCGGGGGCGCCTGCGGCGCGCCGCGGCGCGCGCCGCGCGAACCCGCCAAAAGAGCAAGGCGAGGAAGGTGCCGTCGACGATGACCGTGGTCGGGTGGCCGCACGGGGTGGGGCACGAGTCCCCGCCGACACCACTCCAGGGGTGGCGCACGAGCCCCCCGGACCCCGACAGCCGCCAGCCTGGGGCCCGCGCCGACGAGACCGCCTCCAGCTCCGCGTCGCGCTCTTCCTCGACGCGGGCGATGACGCGAGGGCGAGCGGCGCGGCGGCCAATTTCGGGCTGCAGCCCGCGGGAGGTCCGCCGCAGGTACTCGGCACTTGTGGGTGTTGCCTCGGGCGGACACGCCGCCACCAGCTCCGCGCCCAGCGCCCTGCCCCCGACGGGGGCGAAGAACCCACAGGCGGCGCACTGCCACACGCCAAGATCCCCGAGGAGCACCATGTTGTGGCTGGTGTCCGCCTCCTGGCCTCAGACCTGGACGCGGGGGCCGCCACCAGGGACCACCAGCATGGTCTGCCCTCTCGGGGACAGCGGCCAGCATGGGACACCGACAGGCACGGCAGGTGCGACCATCGTCGTCCAGCTCGTGGGCGGTGACGAAGGCAGCCGCCACACCTGCAGCAGGAGGCGCACGACGCGGCCAGCGGCCTCCCGCTTGGCGCCCGGGGCCCGCCTCCACCGCATCCCGCGTGGACTTGACGACCCGCCACCATACCGCCGTCGCCATCGCCTCGACGCGGCCAACTCTGGCGCGCTGGCAGGCGGGGAGCCTCGCTTCGGCAGCGGCTCAGCCAACAGCCTCGTCGGCCGCGGCACCGCCACGAACCAGCGCGGCCGAGACGCCCCCTTAGGCGACCTCCCCGCGTCGAAGTGGGAGTGCATGTGGACCACCGTGATAGCGCATCTGCTGGGCGGGCTGCGGCGCTCGACTGGCCTCTCGAGGCGCCACCACCGGTCGTGGTCCATTCCGCACGGTGCCTGCTACAGGCGTTCCCACCAGCCGTCGTGCACCTCGAAGCTGTCCGTCATGTAGACCACCTCGCCCAACGAGCACTCGGCGCATCGTGTGAGTCCCAAGTGTGTTATACGTACCCCTCGAAGTTGGTGCACTTTGCTTTTGCGGGGAAGCCCCGATTGGTTTAGGGAAGTTGTTGGTCCGTCTTGGCCTCCCCCGCTCCGTCTTTTCTTCGCCTTCCTTCCGAGGATTGAGGATCGAGGGCTCGCCCGCGCTAGCTTTTAGGCTCGCGGGGCAGATGGGAAGAAAGGCGCCCGCGCCCGCACGCTTGCCTGCCTTTTCGTCCCAGCCGAATCGTACAGCTAACACAACTACTTTCATTTTTTCGGCCGCGATGACTCTCGTCTTCACGGCTGGGCTTTATGCTCGAGCTGATCAACTGGAACATGGCCGCTTTCACAGGCGATCCAAGGCAAATGATCATTTGGGGGTTACTTTGGCCCGCAGGTTAATGTAACCTCCAATGCAGGAAATCCGCCGAAGCAGTGCTACGCGCTGCCCAAGGTGGAAGCTTCACGTACGTTGGAAGCTCACCTTGATGGGCATCGGGCATCATCTCCGACGCATCTTTCGACGCGGAGAGCGCGCAACAGTCCGAAGACAGCAAACGGGGCGCGGAAAGCCTCGACGGTAATCCGTGCGACAGGAATATGGAAAGGTCAAGCCCGAACCGCCCCGAGCTCTCGGAATGGCTCAGGCGGCAGGGCAACCTGCTGCTAGCATTGCCAGACTCGAGTTGATTCTGAAGTAAGGAGGCTTACACCACATCCCATCTCCCCGAACCGTTGGAACGAAGCTCCCTTGGCACGTGCCACAGAGCCAAGGAACCCTTACCCCTTTGACCAAGAGAATCCCGCCCCCTCCGCACAACAACCATGGCCAAGTTCGACCGCTGAAATGCTCCTACGCCTAGTCCAGCATATAGCGGATGCGCAACAGCAGGCACCACAGGAGCAACGCAGAATACTCGAACAGCAGCAAGCGGCAGATCTTCACGGACTGCGATCATCCTTCGGTGGGGGGGGGTCGCCAGTGCCTCGCAAGCGCGAGAAGAGCGTGGACGTGACCCGCCGGCTCGCACCGTCCATGGCGAGATAGGCGGCGAGCGCTCAAGCCAGAGACGCGGACCAACGAGTGACGGACCAAGGGGCCGCGCACTTCATCGAGCGCGTGAGTGATGTTGAGGAATCGCTGCAGCCCCAAAAATTACGAGTCGGGCCTGAACAACGTGAAGTTCGGCAGCTTCTGCCGTCGCCAGACAGACGCGTTGCGCAGCCAGGGCAAGCAACGACGCAGGCGGAGTTCTCCGCGACAATCTGGGCCCAGACGAAACGTGAAGCTGCTGAGTTTGTACCGGAGGCGCAAGGGATGCCATCATCTTTCGCCCACGTTGGGAGGCTCTCCCACGGGAAGCCGACCGCGGCGATGTCGAAGGCTTGCGCGAGGCGCCCGCTGGATCCGCCAAGCGCCCACGTCGGGAAATGCCCAGCGCCCGCGCCCCCCGGCAGGCGAGCGCCGCCCCTGGCCCGCGGGGCCCACCCGGGCATAAGCTGCGCTCCAGCAGCGTGACTATCAGCGCCGAGATTGGCCCAAGGACGCAGCGTTTGCGAAGGGCATCTTCTCGACCGAGCATTGAATTGTCCCCCGCAATACAGTCGAGGCGTTGACCTAGGCCTCCGCGCGCGGCCGTGCGCGCGGGCGCGCGCGCCGGGGCGGCGCTGGGCGGGGGGGCCCCCGCGAGGCCTCCGCGCCAGACCCCCCCGGGGCGGGGGAGGGCACGTCTCGACTGCACGTCTCGACTGAACCAAAAGTGACATAAAGACATAAACATAAAGACTCGGAGGTCCGCACAGATTTCTCGGATCGGCGCTGGACCCCCCTCCCTGGCGCGCGGAGCGCGCCAGGGGCGGCGCCGAAGGCGCCGCCAGGGGCCCCCTCCCGGGCGGCGCCGCGCGGACGTCGAGCACCCCGCGATGCGGCGATGCGTGGCCAGCCGGCCCTGGCCAGCCTCCAAGAAGGCGAAAACGGCAACGATTGCCACCGTGGATCCAAAGCAGTGTGTTATTGCAGTGTGGATAGCTAGCGTCGATCCATCAGCAAGCAGCAACGACGGGGGAGGCCCCGAGGGGCACGGCGGCAACATCTCGACCGAGCACGGCGGGCAACACCTTGAACCACGCGTGAATGACCCGACGACGACGGTCAGCATCAGCTTGCCACGTCGTGAATCAGCCCCGACGAAGTTCGCGCGGCAACTTCCTCGCGGGGTCGTCGCCCCCGACGCGGAACTGCGCCTGGGTGGCATGGCGCCCCCCGGCATGCGTCGGCCCCGACGCGGCTGCAACGCGCTGCTTGAGGGGCTTCGCGCCCCGGCCCATCACCCCGTGCACCCGGCGGCCGCAATGGGCCCCCGCCGGGCACGACGTCCGCTCGAGCTTCAATCGCGCGGCGCACCGCTTGCATGCCTCGGCAAAATCCCGCGCGCGGAGGCGGGGCCGGCCAGTCCAAGCCAGCCTCGAGCGCCGAGAAGCCCGGCCAGACCGACGCCCCCCTGCCAAGTCGACCCCCGAGCAGGCTGCTCGAGGAACCGCCGGCACGAGATGCCCATGCCGTCGCGCCCTGGCCGCCGTGGACTTGGCGCCCTCGTGGACGGAGCACGGGGCGACGCGCTTGGGGGGCACCTGGAGGCTGCTCTCGGCCCAGATGTCACGCGCGGCAATGACAAAGTCGCCCAGCTGCTGGCGCGCGACCCTGCGCGACCCGACTGCGAACTCCCGACAAGTCGTCGACCCGCAGGCGCGGCCGGCAGGACGCGCGAGAGAGGCCCCGCGCGGGTCCAGATGCCAGGACGGTTGGAGGGGGCCCCAGCTTCAGGGCGGCTCGCTCGAGCTCCACCAAGCCCGTGGATCCGTAGAAGGATCTGATGTCCAGCATCGCGTGGCCGCGTTGGCGCGCAGCGCCGCGCTGGCCCACTCGTCGAGGGCGCGCCCCATCGCCTCGCGGAGCGCCGAGTTGCCTCGGGGCGGCCGCGCCCCCGGCAGAGGCCGAAGAGGCGCCCCAGCGGCCTGGCCCCATGCTTCCGCGCCAGGCTCCAGACGCGCGCGGGCACGCCGAGCAAGCCGATGGCGCGCGCGCGCCGCTCGTCTTCCCGAGCAGCCGCCCGACGACTGGGAGCACCTGCCAGGGCCGCGAGCCACCGAGGTCCGCGGCCCGCACGGGGTCGACGAGCTCCCTCGACGCCTCGTCGGGCAAGCGCTCGAAGTCGAGCGGAGTTCGCGGAGTACCCATCGGTCGTGGAAAGGAGGTATTTCTGGAGTCCCAGACTCCAATCTACCCTAAGCGCCTAGGTGGCTTCCCCTCTTCCGTCCTCTTCAGGGGGCGGGCGGGCACCCACTCTGCTTTCAGCGCCTTCCTGCTTCATGCTTCTGCTTGCCTCTTCCGACCGATGCGTGCGGCGGCTGGCCGGCTCCACTCCCCCGCGCTTGCGATCGCCAACGGGCACTGCCAGGGCGAGGCCGATCGTCGCGAGAGGCCGCGGCCCCGCCGCCTGGGCTGCCAGGCCACAGAGGAGGGGTCGCGCCCGCCTGCCAGCTCGGCCGAGGGCTCGGCCGACGCCGCTGGGCGGCGAGCAGCTGCAGCCTTGGCGGTCGAGGGCTTCTCCGCCCCCAGCTCGGCATGCTCGGCCTTCCTTCGGCCACGCGCAGAGGGGGGCATGGGGGAGGGGGGAGTAGAGGAGCACCCCTGGACACAGAGGTAGGGCCAGCGCCCTCCAAGAAGCAGGGGTGCTTCTGAGACGCCTCCCCCC